TTATTTCATATGTAAGACATTTTTCAGATTTAATAAATCTTTTGAAACTATATATATTCATAATTTTGTGAACAGCTGGAAATAGCAAAATTTGGATTCTGTTATTTTTTCTGTACTTTCACTCTCTTTTTAAATTTATCAAATGCATTAAAATTGAAACCTCCAAGATGCATAAAATATGAGCTATATAATTATTGGTACATTTGATTTTTATTTTATTAAATACATATAAATTAATTTATAATTTCAGTCTACGTTTGATACTCAAGGAAGATGGATGTGTTGTTTGGGCTCTGTTCTCTTGGAAGCTAATCTACTAATCCAATCAACTAAACAGTTTGTAAATCAAGTGAAGTGTTCTTAGCTCAAGCCTCATAATAAAGGGTCTTATTTAAAATAAAAGTCCAAAAATGGCCACACAATCAGGGGATGATACGTCTGTCCCAACAACATACAGCAATGAAAAGTGGAAACGTGCAAATTACAAAAGGCTGTGTACTAGCTCAGGATATCAAACTCCTAGTAAAAAACAAGCGCTAGTAACGGAATACTGGCTAACTCAATCTGTTAATAGATTTGCCGTATTATAACAAGATGACAACGAAACTCAAAGCCATGAACCAAAACAGTAAAATTCAAGGAAGCAAGTCATACAAAACAAAGCACCTCTGTTATTTGTTTATTACGCCCAGAATATACGCCTACTGAAAAATGTTCTAAACACAGTAGCCAAAAACAGTTACACTTTGAAAGTGCTTATAACAATAGTTTATAACAAAGTAGAAATCCAATCGACAACGTCTGAAAAATACCTACCGATCGTAAACGTACTAAAAGAGAAAAACACTGTATTCTATACGTATCAGCGCAAAGAGGATAAAAGTTTCAAAGTCATCTTGCGAAATATTCATCCATCAGTCAACATTGAAAGTTGTGACGGTAAACGTCTTATTAGCGCTAACAGCCCAACCATGTGGCTGCCGGTGAGGGCAGCACCTGCCGGTTAGGGCGAAATATAATGAGGGAATTCGGCACGAGACGAGACGGAACGCGCGCGTATGAAAACGAGCCAGTGGAAGATTAGAACCCGCACACTCAGCTGCTGCTAAGAAAGATCGGAGTTTTTCTTGAGTTTTCTGAGAGTGCTAAGAGGATTAGCTATCGACACCGCCTGAGAGAGTCAACTGATAAGGACCGAGAGGAGCTGTGCCATCGCCTGACGGAGCTGAGTGCGTGCTAGTGTGCGTGAGTGAGCAGTTTCGCCATCGAGGGCGAAACTGAAAACGCGAGATACCTCGCAACAAAGACTGACTTTTCCGCAACTAGGGTGCGAACGTTTTTACTCTCGTGCTACCGTACAACTGCTAATAAGGTAAGCTGGCTAGCTTAATTCCGCGATTACTATAATTGTTATTAACTAATCTCGCGTAATCAATAAGAATCGTGCATGTAATAACTCGGCGAACAAAGAGCGGCGAGCGATCCGACACTGCATGTTATTGTCGCGCGCGCGTCTTGTAAACATAAACACGCGGGCCAAATACAGTCCAGAATTAAGAGGCAATAAATAATCTCGCTCGTGATACTGATCGTAATTCTGATGTAGTTATTTCTCACTGGTAAATAGTTGGTTGACTGACACCCATTCCCTCCTGCTCCGATTTTTAAATTTGAACGTGTAGATAATCCCGTGCGCTCTTCGATGCGATCGCGTGCATAATTAAATAAACGGATAGCTAACCCGTTACAAAATATAAAAAAAGCTATAGAAGAATACGGATATATGATAATAAGTATTCCTAAAATGTTACACCATGTCACAATACTTCCGATCCCAAAAAGAGACATCCCTCAATGTAAAAATTGCTAAGAATTCGGACACACTAAAAACTACTGCTATAAAAGAGCAGTATGTATAAAATATTCACAAAACCAAAAAACTAAGGAAAGTCCAATTTAAGAAAAAATTAAAGAAATAACATATGCAAATTGTAAAAGTAACCATACCGTAAGCTATAAAGGATGTCTATTTCGTAAGAAGTTGCAACAAAAATTATTTCGGAGATTAAGAGTAAAATCAGTCACTCCAAACAACAACCAAGTTCAGCCTAATTTAAATACAAATGTAAACACAGCATAAATACAAGTAAACATATATAGACCAAACACATCATATGCCCAAGCAACGGCTATTCAAAACGAACAGAGTATGACAGAAGAATCAAAACAAACAACCAACCAGAAATAGTTAAACACATAATAGAAGCAAGTACAAACAAACTCGAACATATGATGGAAAAACTAATGCAAAGATGGGACACTATGTTAAATTTGCTAACGGTATTAGTCAACAAAAAAGCATAGTGAATACCGTGAATACATTGTAAATAAGTATTTGTAATGCAAATGAAATAATGCAGAGACTCATAGAATTGAAAGCATTTTGAATTTATAAAAATATTAACATCATGTAATTATCAAAAAATCACTTTACGAATATAAACTACCTACATATTCTAAATTATACTGTTCATAATATAAAACATACACTTAATAAAGCTCATGGAGGAACAGCAATTATAATTCAAACGGAAATTAATCACTTTGTTCACGTACACTCAAGTGAAATTTACCTATAAGCACTCTCTAGAGTCATCATAAATGATAACAACCGCTCTCTAACATCAGCTGTTTATTATTCTCCTAATAAAACAATAACAAAAGAAAACTGGACAGTCTTCTTTAAGATGTTAGGAAATCACTTTATAGCTGGTGGCGACTATCCGTAATCTAAATTTTTGGCAAAGTATCCGTGGTGGGGATCCAGATCATCAACTCCAACTTATAGAGGCAGAGTACTTTATGATATTATACAAAAAAATAACTGTTTTCCAATATCCACTAATGAACCATCATACTAGCCAACTGACAAAAATAAGTTACCGGACTTGATTGACTTTGCAACATGTAAAAGGAAAAACCTTTTATGTAAAAGGTAAAAATAGAAAAAATTTTGAAAAATCTTCATGTTTAGATTTAATATCTAATCAATCGCCAGTATTAATTATTCTACATTCACAAGTACTCAAAAATATAAACAACATCACAATAAATGACTGGAAAAAATACGCTCTCTTCATTGAGGAACGTATAACATACAATATTCCACTACAATCAGTTACTGATATTGAAAACAGTATTAAAAATCTAAATTCATTCCTAACTGAAGCCATTTATAAGCATTCTACTACTGTAAATAGTAAAAAAGTTTAGCAAATCATACCTAAAAATATTACTGAAAAACTAAAAGAAAAGAGATCACTCGGAAAATGATATCAAGTAATAAGATCGACTCAAGATAAAAAGAAATTAAACAAAGCAACTAAAGTTTTAAAGAAAATGTACGAAGAAAAAAACATATAAATGCAAAAAAGCCTAAGAATGCTCAGTCCAACAGAAATAACTGATTACTCGCTATGGAAAGTTACTAAACGTTTTGAGAGACCAACCTCAGTTATACCACCTATCAAGAAAAACTACGGTAATTGACCCAGATCACACGAGAAAAAACAGAAATATTCGCAAATCGTTTCTTCAAGCCTCATCAAAGAATAATCACTGTACTAGATGAAGAAACCCTAATAGAAAACCCTGATAGTTAAGAAGATTCACCAATAAAGACAGTGAATTTAAAGGAAGTATTACAAATAATTAATAATATTAATTACAAGAAAACTCCCGGTTGTGACAAAATTATAGGAAAAATGATCAGAAAGCTACCTCCAATAGCAACAAGATATAAAACAATAATATTAACTCAATGTTTCCACCTTTGCTATTTTCCCTCTCAATGGAAAGTAGCAAAGATTATATTAATAACTAACCTCGGTAAAGAAACTGCACTTCCGTAACCTCATATAGACTAATCAATCTTTTACCGATACTTGCAAAAGTCTACGAAAAATTAATCCTAACCAGAATTAACCTAATTATTGTCAATAAAAAACTTATTCCAGACCACCGGTTTGGTTTTAGGCCACACATCCAAAAAGTGAGGAAAAACGCTATCAAAACTAAGGTGCTACTTCATACACGCTGGAATGTGATAGGGTAGTTGATCAAAATCAAGGCCATATAAGGAGCATGACGTCACAGGCATGGAATATTTATTATTTACAATGCAAAACCAATAATTGCAAGCTTTTCAAATAAACAAAAGCACTTATTTAATCAACTTCAATGAGCTAATCTCGAATTTCAAATCATTATGATCATTTATTACGTACTAGTTAACTTAATTTAATTTAAGTTAACTAGTTGCACTGTTTACATGGAAATAAAGACTCAGCCATTTCCTGAAATCGGTTTTCATTATTCAGTGGTTAACCTTGCTATTATCCTTTCCTAAATTATAGTCTAAGAGCTCAACTCATAAGACCTTTCCTCTTATGAGAAAAAAGCAGCCTTAAACTATCTTCTTTTCTAATTATATTATTACAGTCTAAAAATTTGGCTAAGTATTTGTTACGGCTCTGTATAGCATTTCTCAGATAGATGCAACGATGCTTGGCAGCATTTCAAACGTCGATGTAGCGAACCGTGTAAATTCATACTAGGTTCGCTGTTCGATGATTGACTTCACTTACTATTCTTGAAATACAGACAACTATTATTTTTATCATTTCAAGTATCTAGTATTGTTTGTCAACTTCTTGCTTGCTCTCGGAAACATAATTTGCAAATATATTTTAGAGTTCGAACTTAATAAATTATAACGTAGTAAAGTCGAAATGTTACAGTACTATTGTTTACTCGATCACAACGAAAATTATTTATGTATATATGAGCGTAAAAATGGTGTAAAACTCAGAGCATATTTTAAATCAACATAACATTGAAATATATATAAGGTATTACTAAAAGAGCATGTAATGATAGTATATTTGGAAATCTATAATTAGTTTGGTTTATAAATGTTATATTGTTTATTAAATGAATAATAAAAATGATCACATAAATAAATTTATTTTAAAATTCTTAAATGAGTTTTCTATATTATAAGAAATGTTGAGTTTTCTAAAATCTTAAAAGTTATTATCTACGAAAATCTTATTCTTGCGTCAATTTTAAGCATCAAAAAACTGTGCTAAAGCAGTTTTCACCCTGAAAATAGAATACAAATTATTAAAATCTTTATAAAATACATCCTTATATAATGCATTGATATGATATAGTACGTTTTGTGGAATGAAAATAAATGAGCTAATATATAGTAATGAGCTAATATATAGCTAATATATACTATGTTTTAAAAAAACTCGTATTCTCCTGCTGGAATTAAAAATACTGAATTATATTAAAAATAATACCAATGAAAGTTGTTATGGTCTCTGAGAGACGCATGTTATGTTGATATTTCGTGATCATTTTAAGGCCATTTCAAGGTCAACTTTGTTTTCTTCAAATTGAAATCTTTATTTTTAGCCCCGAATGCGGAAGGAGAGGAAAATTCTACGATCAGGTGAAGTAACATAGTCGACGTTCGATTCCTACGGTTGGGTTCGAAATCTTTATATTTAAATAATTGGGGAAGTTGCAACATGATAATTTTCAAGGGCGATAAAGTAAAAGTAAGATATTCATTGAAATTAAAAGTAAAATTAAATTCATTGAAATTAAAAGTATGATATTCATTGAAATTAAAAGTATGATATTCATTGAAATTAAAAGTATGATATTCATTGATATTCATTGATATTTTTGCGGTTTCCAATTTTTATTATTAGATTTTTTATTACCTTAATTTCTAAATTATGTCGTGAGAAATGGATTAGGATTTATAAATGTGAAGTTTAACCCATTGTAACGGCGGCTCGACATAAAAAGGGACCAGGAAAAAACAGGCCACACACTTAGCTCATAAATTAGGATTATAAATCGCATACAGCTGAGAAAAGAAGATTTTCTTCGTGAACGACAGTTTTCGTCTCGCGCATCTGACAATTTTCGGATGTTTGGAAGTGTACCATAATAATCAGAGTGAGTATACGAGGTCTGTCCGGAAAGTATCGGGTCTACGTTTATATTTTCGCGCCATAGTATTCGAGCGACCTCTACTGGACAGAAAAGTCAACAGTAAAGCCTCACGAATCTATTGATTACTTATTGACACCTGCCGGACGTATAGTTCATGCGCAGCGTGTCTTTGTTTACAGTGCCTTTTTCACGTTCGTCGGATTTTGATATTGTCAAAAATGACTGAAAAACAAGATCAACGAATTTGCATCAAATTTTGCTTTCAACTCAGAAAAACGAGTTCAGAAACTATTGAAATGATGCAAAAGGCCTTCGGAAGCGAGTGTATGAGCAAAACACGAATAAAAGAGTGGTATAAACGGTTCAAGGATGGCCGCACTTCTGTCGATAATGATTCTCGTTCCGTCCGACAAAAACCTTCGATGACAAAAACCGCAGATAATATTGAGCGGGTGCGACTTGCAATCGAACAAGATCGTCGTATGACTGTACGAGAACTAGAAGAAAACCTTGGGATACCAAAAACTATCATTTCAGAAATTTTAATCGAAAATTTAGGAATGAAACGCGTGTGTACGAAATTCATCCCAAAATTACTCACAGCTGAGCAGAAGAACATTCGCTTAGAAATCGCTCTGGACAATCTGGAAATGGTCAATAATGATGATAATGTGCTTAGAAAAGTTATTACAGGTGATGAATCATGGATTTATGGTTATGATCCTGAAACAAAACAATAATATTCACAGTGGAAGCATTCTGAATCGCCAAGAACAAAAAAACCACGTCAAAGTCGGAGCAATGTTAAGTCAATGTTGATTGTTTTTTTCGATTGTGAAGGTGTTGTACATCACGAATATGCACCAACAGGTCAGACAATCAATAAAGAATACTACTTTCAAATTTTGAAACGTTTGCGTGATGCAGCAAGAAGAAAATGGCCGCACTTTTGGTAAAGTGGTGACTGGCTTCCCCATCACGATAATGCGCCAGCGCATTCATTCAATCTTGTGCGGTAGTTTTTGAGCAAACACAATATCGCGTTGCTTCGACAACCTCCATACAGTCCCGACATAGCCCCTTGTGACTTTTGGCTGTTTTCAAAACTAAAAAAACCACTCAAAGGACACCGATTCGATGACAAAACAACGGTTGAAAACGATGCGACAAGTGTACTTAAGGCTATCCCTAATAGTGAGTTCCAGGACTGTTTTGAAAAGTGGAAACATCGATGAGACCGTGTTATTCAATCAAGTGGGGATTACTTTGAAGGATGCCACCCACCAGATGATAAAGAATAACACTAGTACGAAAATATAAAGGTAGGCCCGATACTTTCCGGACAGATCTCGTAATACAACCGCGACATCCATAATAGCCAGATTGCGAACATCTCAGGAAAATGGAGAGCTGCAGCGCACATGTGCATCCTATCCATAATACAATTATTTTATTTTAATTAATTGCTTTTCAATTTTATTAATTTCTTTTAAATTAAAGGAAACATATTTACTTGCAGATCTCTCAAAAATATGCAAGACTTGTCTGTTTCAAGTAGTATTCAAGTAATTAACAAAGACTATTTTGATTAATAGTTTTTGTTTATTGCTCGATTTATATATTAGTTTTATATATAAATATAAATATAGAAATATATAATAATTCATTATATCTTTCCGTATTAATCAAGATTTGTATTGTGAATTTTGTGTGTTTAATCGAGGAATATACTCAACTTTGCGTTAAGAACATTTTAGAATGTCTTGAACGAAAGTTGATGATTATATTCATAATAATAAACTCCGATTTTCCAGTATTTCTTATGGGTTGTTGGTAATTAATTAATGGTTCAAACTATTAAAATCTTTTTGTTTTCAGATAAATATAATCCTTAACTTTTGTTCTGTACTTTAGTTTTATTATAGATTCAATAATATTTTTGTATTAGTAAAATTAGAGTACCACACACACAATTGCATTTAGATAAAATTAATTTAAATAATTAAAGATGAAAATAGTACATATAGGGCCATCTGTGTGAAGAGGGCCCAAAACACTTGAATGAGTACTCCTGCATACTCCGCCCCCGACCAATTAGGGTTCGTATTCCGCTTACGCTTGAGACACTCCCAAAATTTTCCAACCAATTATCAGGAAAATTTGAGTTCTTCCTGCCCAAAAATGACAAGGAATTTAGAGTGGGACTCTCTTGCGAAAAGCATAAAAGGAAGCTCTTGAAGAAAAATAGGCAGTTTTTATCCCAGTTGGTTCCAGTTCGGTATTTTATAAAAAGGACCTTCGTGTGTATGGGAAATAAGTACAAAAAAGTAAGTAAACGAATTTAATAAAAAAAACCAAAACCCTAATTCGGTTCATTTCTTTCCTCATTCTTTTCTTTCTTAGTTTCGCGTACGGTTTTTTTATTTTAGATAGTTACACTCAATTGCCAAGCGTGTGGTCGAGTGCATACTATATAGGCTCCCTGTTACGCTATTTTATTGCCAAGAGTGTGGTAAAATAACGCGAAGCACAACTATATTGCCAAGCGTGTGGTATACGTAGTAAAGCTTCAATTCTCCGTCGCCGAAAAGAGAATTTCCCACGACAGTGGCAACGCACGTCCCGGTTATTGTCCAAAAAGATAGACCAAAAAGTGCGCTGAGAAATATGTCTCGTCAACCGACGTCACACCACCACGTTCCCTAATGCCAAGGATGAGAAGAGAGAAACCAATTGAATGATGATTAGGTCACCATGCAACTTCTCTGGCTATGCTGTTTGCTGGCTCCTCGATCACTTTGTTGCGTCCAAATAACCTCCCCTGACAACCTAAAAGCTCATAAGCCTAGCTAAATATCAGGCGAATTTCTTGGCAAATTGTTGATGCTCTCTTCTCTTCGCATGCAAGCGGGTAAAAAATTAGTTTCCTTCTTATTTTTCTTCTTGATTGATTCTCTTGATCACCAAATGATTACTGCCTTAATCTATTTTTCAGTTTACATGACCCTCCTTTTCTCAGCAGCAGCCGCGACCACCGAAACCAATCGCGTGATCTCTTTCTTTTTCCCGTGCCCTCAATCTCTTCTCTCTCTTTTCTTCTTTCTACTCACTCAGTAATTGCTTCTCACCCTCTGGAACTGCAGCGGTTGAAACATTGAAACAAATAATATTCCGAGGTGAACGCACATGTAAACACACACACGACTTAACTTGGTGGCTGGGTTTCTATCGGGAAACCAATCAAATGAGGTATACCTAGACTCTCTATAATGCCATGTCATATCCCTTGAAAAAATCACTGATATCATAGACCTTGTGATGGTCACATACTCTCCATCCCGGTCGTAATTAAATGAATAGAAGAGATTATACAAACAAATAAAATCATTAATAGTTAGAACCAACACAAAAAACAATAGAAGAAATTCAAAGAAGTATGAATTTTTAAACCTGATGCAGTTATAGCGAAGGTTTATATCGAACGATTTGAGCTTGAGACCGCTGCAAATACCTTCGCAAATAACAGCGCTCATTTGAAAGTCACCCACTATCCCTCCAACTTCAACGCAAACTGAAAAAATGCGGTTGTGACGGGATCTGGATGGAGGATAGAGCATTCCACAATATCGATCGTCGGTTTCAACGAGGCGGCAACTCCAGCAGATGTTCTTGGCACCTCTTCAGCGGGAACAGCCTTCGCTGTATACTCCGCAGCTATCTGCTTTACTTGTTTTTCCGAGCGTGAAGCAGCGAGTGGGTCTCAACGGAAAATAAGTACTCTCTTCTCGTCGCTGTTCATATGCTTACCAGAACTACGCCACTCCGCTCGTGATTAAAAATTCCCCGCCACCAGCTCAGCTAAAGATTCTTCACCTTGCGGAGTTGTGTAAAGCATCGACCTGAGGTCATTGGTGGAATCGGCAGCGTCTTGGACTACACTATCTCCACAGTTTGAGTCTTTCTCGCCATTGGAACCGGCAACTGTTTGAGTCGCATAGGTTCCTTAGCGATGACTAAGCCGAGGTGAATCATCTTCTCCTTTCTAAGAAGACCATGTACCTCGGCTTTACGATGATAATCATACGCACTTTTAGAGCCCGCGAAATTCGTCATGTTGGCTCCGTAAC